GGCCACGCAAGGATCCCGCTGCGAGCCAAAGGAAACCACGTCGTGCACGCTGACATCTCAGGCAGACTTCCCTAAATTTAAAGGTCCCCTAAGGGCTGGCCAGCAGGTATCTGGAGGGCGTGCAAGATTCATTTACAGCTTCGCGAGCCGCCCCATCAGCCGCACGAAGGTTTGGACCTGATGTTGAAAGCACCTGCAAAGCGACTGGTCACCGGTCAAGCGCCAGATGTAATGCCTAAGGCAATCAGCACTTCAAACAGCTTTGCCGTTTGCAGCTTGCAGTTTGCATGAAAATAAACCCGCCTCATCGAGTGGCCGCCTGGTCATGCTGTGGCTTTCCTGGATTTCCGGGAGCCTGCCACAGCAAGTGCATAGCACGAAGAGCTCCTTCCCCGTGCCTGTCGGCCTTGGAGAGCATCTTCTTTCAGGCTGCGCTTGTTGTTTGAGACCGCCTGCCACAATACCGATTTCCGAACTCGTCTCGCAAACAGTAGCACCTAGCACCTCACCTCGTCAGAAAGCTTGACCTTCTCCCGCTCGATGGCCTCCCTGTGAGTTGCAGGGTCTGCGACAGCCATGAACCCCTGCTTTCGAATCATTGCAGGCCCACCTGATGGGCCCAAAGGTTGTTCGATGTTCGCTGCAAATTCCGTGCTGTCGAATCGCTTTCAAATGCGCTTCAGTGCCGTAGCCCTGAGTTGACAAGACCGCACAGAAGCCACGGCTGCAACTGTTGCAGACTGTTCCGGCCTTGTGCGCCTTGAAGCCGTAAAGCGGATGCAACGCATCCAGCCGGTCCATCTGGCGATCGCGGGAAACTTTGGCCAGAACCGAGGCGGCTGAGATCCTCGAAAGTTTACCAGCCCAGAACCGTTCGCTTCACAATACCTTGCAGCCCCAGGCTCGATGGAACACGGCCATCCCCTTCGATGACAGCTTCCACCTCCTTCACAGCTCAGGCTGCAGCATGCGATCAGGGCTGCGGTGAGCATCGAAGTCCCACCTTTGGTCGCCATGGCTCGGCTTCTTCCACCTTCGGCTTCTTGAACCACTTGGCGAGCTTGGTCTGGTTCTTGCGACTTTCCAGATCTCTCTGTGACTCCCGAGTCCATTTCTCGCCCGGGCCCAGAAGCTCGGGGGGGCGATTGCAGCCGTCCACAAGCACCGTACCTCACGGCGTCGCATGGCGTCGAGAAGGGGTGCTGTGCGAGCCATGGGATCCACACCTGGTCGAACTGTGAGGCCATGCACCGCTCGGGACATTGCTTGCAGCGACGCCTTCGAGCAGCCATACGACAGTGAGACGTTTTGCAGATGCGGCCTTGGACCCGACCTGAAGAATGTTGCCAGCATCGATCTCCTTGACGGAACATTCGGCAATGCTCCAGGCGGTGCGGCCCTGGAACTTCGCATCCGTCAGCTCCTGGGCGACAAACCCACGAACTGGGCTGCCTTGCTCGGCCCTTGCTCGGCCTCGAAGAGGCTCTCCCGCTGTTGCTCGGTCAATTGCTTGGAATCGTTGACCCTGGACAGCAGATCAAGGACCTCGGGCTTCTTTGCACCCGGTTCTTGCAGCACATGTGCTGTCGACTACTGCGCGTTGGCACGACCATGTCTTTCCCAAAATAACAACATGCACAATGCAGCCAATGATGTGCCTCTTCATCTTCGGGCGCCAGCACGGAGAAAGCGGCTGCAACGACCTGAAAAGTACACGCGCACAGACACACACACACACACACAGACACACACACACACACAGACACACCCCCACCCCCACCACCACCACCACCACCACCACCAGCACCACCAGCACCACCAGCACCACCAGCACCACCAGCACCACCAGCACCACCAGCAGCACTGCCACCAGCACCTGCTCGGTTCAATCAGCCTCAACATCTGACGGCTACCCAAGAAGCGGCGCATACATCTAGTAACTCACCACAATGAATCATTGTCTGAACTTTTGATCCCATACTGCGAAGCAGACAAACGTCTCAACCTTAGTTTGTCGAGTCTCACTACGGGGCTGGGGATGCCCTTCTTTTTAGATCAAAGCACCAGATTATGAGCCCTCAGTGAAGGAGGCTTGCCTGAGGCCGGTGGAACCGTGCTGCTGGGGTCCCCGGCGGGCCCAGCCAGCGGTCCGCGGCCTGCTTCGTCGACGCCCGCCACAGAAGTGCCCTTCCGCCACCAGCGCCGTTCCCAGGCATCCAGGCCCTGCAACGAAGGAGCATGCGCCAAATACATGAAGGATCCACAAAGTCCGTGCCAACCGTCTCCATGTAGAGACTCAGCACAGGATCCGCTGGCCTTTCCACTCTCATCGGCGGAGCTCCCGCCTCTGTCACAAAGGTCGAACCGTGAACTGTGGTACAAGTTGACCGCAGGCGAGCGGCCGAGCCCCATGAGCCCGGGCCCCGTTCAGCCTATCGGGCCAGAGCCATACAGCTGATCATAAGCAAATCATTCATAACAAGCTGCTGAGAGCAGCGAAGTTCTTTCGTAACTTTTGGTGGCCGATGCTGTTCACAGGCAACGCATACCGTGCTGGTGCTCACAAACAAGACTCTGTCTAGATTACCGACATCTAACCATTCCACTCTTTCGGGCCAAGCTCTCCGATCCAGGCAACTAACGCCCAAGCCGGAGCTGTTTCGATGTTGTCTCCATGCGATCGCGTGTGACCGTTCTGAGAGCCGTGTTGGCTCGTCAGAACGAGTAAACGGCCGAAAGGCCACAGCATGTTTCAGCACAGATCTTTGCAAGTGCTGTTTGACGGTTTGCACATGGTCTGCGGGATGGAGGGATACATGATCTGAGAGCCTTGGCCGAAGCTTGCGAAATCTGGACACCAGATTTCAGGACTAGGACTCCATCCCGGAAGACTGGACTCCTTCACTCTGGAAGGAACTACTGTAACTACATGTTACCGACTGCGCGTCCGCGAACGTTGGCCACATGGCCGAGGCCTTCATGAAAGACCCTCCAAGCCAATGCTTCTGCGGTCAGAATTGTCCTGCCAGGCACACTCAGGCAGACTCTCCCAGGGCCCTTCACACTCCACTCGACGGGAGTCAGAGAAGAGCACATCTCGGAGCTCTGGGCCTGCCGAGCTTGTTCCGAAGAGCGGGGCAAAGGAGGGGTCCACCGGGCTGCTGCCATCGCCGTGGCTGCTTGGCCTTGCCAGGAACACAACGCCTCACCGAACCAGAGCTCACACTAGCTCACTGATACTCTGAAACCTTTTCCCATACCGGGCGCCAGTGAACCGTGATGAGATCCTCGACTCTTCGAACCCATTTACGGAATGAAAGCCTCAAAGCCTTGAGGGGATGCGAAACAGCTCACTGCGCAGACATGTGGCATGCTGCCCATCCGGCGGAGTGCCGTCCTGGAAGCAAGGGCATAGCATGGCCCAGACGGCTTGCCGGAGCACAAGACTCTCTGTCTATTCGACAGCAGCTGCAGGTCCGAAGATGCTCTAAAATCTGCCTTTCCCGTGGCCTGCGCAAGCCATGTGGCACGGAGGAAGCTCGTGCGAGGCTTCCAGGCTCGAGCACTGCGCTCATCGGGGTAAAAGCTGCCTGCCATACTGGGGGATGTGCTGAGAGACTGTATAGGCTGTGCTCAAGATTCTTCCAGACGACAGCTTCAGAGCTTGCATGCAACTCCGCCATTTTATACTCTTCATACGACTTACGTTCTCGTATGGGGGTGGGCTCCAGATGGAAACAAAAGCCACAACGCAACTCCGCTGGCGGAAAGTCACTTCTTCCTTTGGCAACGAAGCCTCGAATCACACTGGCACGAGATGCCACAGGGTTCTGTGCAAGTTTTAGCTTGTCTTTTGTATGTATGTACGTCAGCACACCAAGAAATGCCCTGGTCGCGTGGCCTGCGGTGTGGTGCTTATCCGAGTTTCCAAGCGCTTGACCGAGTCGTTCAAACTGCTCAGGATCTGTGCGATGTTCGTGACCTTCAAAGGGAGGGGGGGGTGGCGACGTCCAGTAGGCTACATGCACCGTTTCCCCGAGCGCGGGCAGAAAGCCTCTTCGCCCCACTTCTCCACGCTTTGTGATACGGTGCTCAGTCTTGACTCCAGTTCGTCCAAGTGTTCCTTGTGGACCTCCTTGTTCATGAAAACCTCAGCGAGCAAGGCGGACCGAGGACCGACAGGGCTCTGCTGCTCGACTCTACGGCTTCTACACAAGACCCAGACATTCGCATCGTAGTCCGCACGATAGCAAACCCACAAGAAGTGGGAGCGGTCGGTCGCATGTCGCGGTTGCTCCTCCTGCTCCACTGAGCAGGTGATAGGCAATATAAGTGCTGGCGAGACTTCGAACAGTTGCTTCGGGTGCAGATGCACTACACTACGCTCTTGGACCTGTCTTGCTGCCGAGTACTCCTCCTCTTCATCATCCTCACAGCTCAGCTCTCCAAAGCCTGGAGACGTCAGCCCGTAAGGGCCTCGAGCGCACAGCGACTTTAGCACCTTATCTGCGCAGTTCATGGAACGAGCACTTCCAGTGCCCTGAAGTCACGACGCAAACCACAGGAGCTGAGCCACTGTTAGGGCCAAGCCGAAGGCCAAGCCGGGAAAGACAGCATGCAAGAACCAGATGCAGAAGAGCAGGCAACCCAAGAGGGTTAGGCCAACCAAGGTCAGCCAGCCAACGATTCTGACATAGTCCTTTGTTGCACCAGACTTGAAGCAATTGCGCAAGGTAAAAAAGGCTGCACCTACCACTGTCGATCTAGTTGGAAGTTTTCCAAGCCAAAGCGAATCCAGTACAGAATAATCTGCCGCGGGGATCCGCATCATCGTCCTTCCGTGGAAGATCCCCATCATCCAACAGGAGCTCCCAGTTCATCCGGTAGCCACAAAAGTTAAATGTCCTGTAACATTCAGTGCGAAATCTCAGGCGGGTGCAGCATGTTGCACTGCATTCGCTGCCAACCCAATGCAGCCAGCGCAGGCTGAACGGGCCTTTGGCAGAGCCGGCTGCCGTGGATGATGGGCATCGCCTCGTCTTTCAGCCTGGCAAGTGCTACTTGCCGCTTGCACTCCAGCAGCCGTTAGCACGAAGCCGATGAATTGATGACAAGAACAGGAAGCCACTCAAAGCAACTTGAAACAATGGAGTTGAATAAGGCCATGTCACGCTTGCTATTCACAGCCAAGCAGGCTGCTGCGAGAGCCACGGCACCTGTAAACACAGCCGCGTGGCTTCTTCACGGCCCACTCCAACCATGTGGCCATGCGCCGCCGCTCTGCGCACAAAGCGCGTTTCGCTTCGAATTTCCACGGCCAGCGCGGGCAAAGAAGGACCTGAGCCCGAACCCTCTAGCTCTGCCGGGATTTAGGAGGACTCTCTCCTGCCTGTTCGCTGCAACATCACACGGCACAGCACTGCAGCCACACGTCTCCAGAGATTCTCACACCCTTCAAAGGCCGTCGCCTCCGCGCAGAGGCGCGCCCTCCAGCGCCAGAAGTGAAGCCAGGATTCCTTGGACCAAGGGTGTTTTGCAAAATAAGCCGAAGATCCTGACAAAGCATTGAGACTGTCGCACTTCTCCGTCGAAGCCCAAAGTTGGCGGAAGTAAACGTCACTGGCAGTTGTCTAGGGGAAGCAATGGGCCTTTTTCCCTGTGTCTCTTGCTGTCTTCCGTCACTCGTTCCCTCCGAATAGGAGCCGCCTAGCGACACTATGCAGGCGAAGCGAACGAAAACCCGTCAAACATCCTTTGATACCAGGGCTCCTTAATTGCCGCCTCGTACTCCATAGTGAACACCTGCAGATCTCAAGCTTGGGTTCAACCCACTTGCAATCGACGGCTTCGGCTAGGGTTTCATTTAGATCTCAGATGAGCTCATTCCATGAGACGGGTCTCGAACATGTCCATATAGAACCCCAATCTTGGCATGCTTGAGACACGCGTTACTCGGGCTTTCGACCGGGTCAATGCCGCGTCAATGCATACATAGTCCACCAAGAAGGCTATATGGCACAATTTGGGGAATCGAAGGATAGTTTGATGCTTGGAAGGCCAACTAGTTTGCCGAACAGCCTCGCAAGGGCATATTTCGATCAGAGATGTCTTTGGCACTCAAGAACGTGAGGAGGCACTCGGTACAGAAGCGACTGCGTGTGCGAGCAGGCAGCTGCAATGGAGACATTGAGCAGGCATATGGTCACAATGAACCTCAGCACTGCTTGGTGCAGACTAGCCTAAGACAATGATAAATCGCACCATCGATTGCAGTATGATAGACACTCTCTGACTTCGCTTCCCGGCTGCAGACCGCAACCTCTGGCAGGTCTTGCTAGTGACAGTCTGAGCTCTATCAGTTTTGCAGCACCACTGAGCCACCACAGCCCCGAGCCCGTGCTCTGTTCTGAGACTGCCGGCGTGGAGAACAAGGTGAGGTAGGTGTCGAGGTTGTTCGGCTGCAGCTCTCCATCATGAAGTTCGCCCTGCAATCAGGAGGTATGATGCGAAACCACAAGTTGGCAGGTCTCCACTGCTTTGTGTACGGATTTGGCGGATGTGCTCGTGTTCTTCGCCTCCATGACATCCAGTCCCTCGCCATCGGCTAAGAAGAGGCCGCGATAAACCTTCTCGATGAGAGCCCGCAGTGGAAGCTTGGAGCCTGAGAATGTTTTTTGCAGGAAACCCGGTCAAGATGTCACAATGAGCGCCGAGAAGCCCATGACGATGTACGCAGATGTGAAACTTGCGAAGACCAAGATCAAGACCGTGAAAATCACTCCCAACCTGAGGAACTTGGCATGAGAGACAACTCAGCCTGCAGTCGAAAAAGGGTCAAGAGTCACGACAGCTCGTGCTTGAAGCATGGTAAGGGGATCCAACTTCGCCTCCCGATAACCCTATGTTGCGTGGCTGAGCGGCCTGAGGAACGAGTGGAGGATGGCGAGGAGATGTCGACCAAATTCTAGTCGAGGGGACGCACCTTCAAAGGAATGGGAGTGACGAAGATACAATAAGGTCAGTAAGGTATGGCTACAACAAGACATAGCACAACGCTTGGCACCCCATCTCCAACTACTGCAGTCACCTGGCTCTCTGCTACTCCTAGTACCAATTAGGACAATTAAGGATCGCCAGTCGCCAAGAACGTCTTATGTCTACCGCGGCGCCTTTGGCCAGAAAGATGAACAAGAAGCATTGCAAGAGCAAGTTCGCTCCGAGCAAGCTGCGCTCAAAGGTCCGCTTGTTGCCCTGAGACGGGTCGTGTGGTCCAACGTGCAAGAAGAAAAATATTCTACCGAGAAAAGAAGGCATTCATACGCTGCACTCCACTTTGCAGACGTGGATCCGTCAAATCTTCGTCATTCCTCCAGGTGTGATCCAAGTCATACCCAAAGAATGTCCTGCCACGAACAGCATCCAGAGCACCCAGAGCTCTACAGCTCAACCCGTCTCCTCCAAAGCAGCCACCACAAGAGGTAAAGCTGCATAATCCGAAACCCAGCCATGGGATGCAGGAAGAACTGCTTCAGCGTCCAGCCATAGCAGAAATGACCTTGGACATTGAGGGAATGCATTAGCCAACACTCTCATGTTGGACAAGCCACCGCTTGGCACCCGAATCCCAATCGAAGGGCCTTATCAACTGTACACGACACCCTTCAGCCAGCACATCTCTGCAAAGCTTTGGGAATCTGCCTTGCGACCGCGCACCTCTCATCCACCAAGCCATGGTAATGGTCTCATTCACCAGTATGGCAAATATCACCTCGATCACATGTTTCGACTCGGCACATGTGAGTGCGGCAGGTCTTTCTGAGGTGTGTCTTGTATGTCACACCATTCAATTCTGTGCTGGCTAGAAGATTTGTGCTAAGCACTTTGTGTGGCTTCTCGCCGCAGAGTCTGCCGTCCAAGCTGCTGTCCATGCAGTTTTCCGTGGCTCCCAGAGCCAGAATCCAAACGACCAAGACCTCAAGACTTTCTCGGGACAGCCACACCCTTGTTTCCGGAACCTGTCGGATCCGCAAAACAAGCCCTGCACTCTGGGGCAAGACCTCCCCTGAGCTGCCGGCAGAAATGCACCGAACAGGACAAGCTCCTCAGCCAGTTTACTTACCCAAAAGGCTCACCGCCGGACGAACCCCATGCGGCTCGGGTCCTGAAGAAGTGCCGAGGTGATAGGCCGGAAGCAGAACTGCTCATAGCCACAACTCAGGATGGCCTGGACCACCTCCCATGGCGAATTACAGGGCTGGGCGGTGAAGAACCTGAGCCGCTTCCGCGGGATTGGATAGTGCAAGCTGTCCCTAGTTGGCCTTCTCTGCAAAGATTTCACTCCAGCTGACACTGGTGAGAGCCATCATGATGCGCACCTGGGTAGAGCGCATACAGTCACAAGCCCAATGTACCTAGTGACCAAATCTATGAGGCTAGTCATGCAAGTTCAAAAAAGCCTGTACACCTCAGACCTCATACGTTCGAAGGACACGGGATATTTAACTTCCAAACCCAGCCGGTCAGACAGAAGCAGTCATGCGAAACGACCGAAGTGCCAAATGAGTCAGCCCAGGAGCATCCAGGACATTGGACAGCAGCAACACCTTGACAGTTTAAGAGTAGAGCATGGTGGCCCTGCGGTTGGAGAACGGAAAAGCTTCATTGTTCAAGCGACGAGCGAAAACCCTGCATCTCCCAAACCCATTGCGGCCAAATGAAAAGAATCTGGCAATGAACCCCGTGCAACTACTGTCCCGGCCGGTCAACCTTGATGCAAACGTCGCGATCTCCTCGGACGTGAAGTGGCTTGCACAGCAATTCGACATCCCCGTGGTATCACTCGTCGTCATTGTTGTAACAGCAGCAGACGTCACTGTCACTGTTCTACAAACGCAAGGTACAAGAAGGCGACGGGCCAGAAATGCTAGTCGAAGATGTTGATAGTATGCGTTGTTAGAACACGCAGAACATGTAATGATAGATTCAGGAAGTGTTCAGTGTTTTTATTATATCGGTACTGCCCAAACATATGAAGATTACAATGTTTTAATTGTTTTGTACCGCAGGAAGCCACTGCCGCAAAATCAAACAACCACCATCCTACAACGAAGCAGGAAAAGCTTTCTGAAACGTTCTCCGAAAAACATCGAAAGCCGAAATACCACATACGCAAGCGCGCCACAGCAGATACAACAGTACATTGAGACCATACTAAAGATGGGATGAAGTATAGGTGAGTATACATAGACTATAGAGCCATGGAGCTTTTGTAGAACCAATTGCCAAATTTCTGCAAGCTGGGGCAGACTGTCTGGATCAAATTAGCTGCTGGTTGACTGGCTGATGCCAAGCATCCTTCCTGGTGCTTCCCTTTGAATGCCGTCGGCGCCTGCATCTGATCCACGACCTGTGGAGCTCAGCCGAGCTTGTTCCAATTGCATTGACACGGCCGGACACTCGGCGCCTTCTGGAGGCCCATTGGGTCCATGAGGCTCGCCCTGTCCAAGGGCACTCGTAATCCGCAGGCTCAGCTTGTTTTACTCTCGTGTCTGATGACTTCCGGGGCTAAACACGCAGCACTGTCCCAAAAAATCTTGCAGAAATCAATCAATAATCTGGAACCATTCAAGATGCTCTTTGTCTAATGCTTGGACAGGCACCAGTGCAGGCATCGTAACAACACAAGGAACTCAGAATGGTCTCGGCAACGTCTTGATGTCTGCTGCTGCGCCGGGGTCGCTAACCGGTGCTGGGCCATTGGATGGCAACTTCTAAGGAGAACATTCTCTGGCAAGATTTGGCCGGAACAAGACAGACCAGGAAACTCACGCAAAACGGATACCTGCTGTCGAACATGCTGTTTGCAGGGAGTCCACCAGCTGTCCGCGAAAGTTTCGTAATGGCTTTCTGCCACCATGCTATCCGGCACAACGTCGTGATGCTCTCTCTGCTTGCACTGCAGTCTTGTACTTCGTCGCTTGTTGTCGGGGCGGCTTCCATGCACGCATTCTGGCTTGGCACCTTTGCTGTGCCTGTTCAAACTAGCACTGCAAGTATGCTGAAGCGCGCTGCTACATGCATCTGTCATCAGCAAGCTCAACCAGCGTTTCCAAGCTGAAGGTAGCTAGGCGGCTCAGCAGTTGTTATGACACCGGGCGAGCTAGTTGAAGATTATTGTGATGACCGGTGTCGCAGCTACCGCTCAAAGTCATTCAAAGTGCCTGCCTCCTTCGATGGCATCTTTCTCTAATGCCCTTCGAAACCCCCTTGGCCTGTTGCAAGACGCCTTCGGGGCCAAAGTTCCGTGCCAGCACTGCGCTGTCCGGAGCCAGCAAGGCCAAGCCTTCAGCGCCGGGCCCCGGTATCGCCCCGTGTGAAAGCAATATATTATAATATGATATAATATGATATAATATAATATAATATAATATAATATAATATAATATAATATAATATAATATAATATAATATAATATAATATAATATAATATATGATATGACATGATACAATATAATATGTAATATGTATAATATATCATATATAATATATCAACTTTTCCCCGAGCCCACAGCCTTGTGTCTTTCAAAGGCACTGGAGTGGTATTGGTCTGCAGTTTGCCTGGGCATGGCCGGGTGCTTCAGCGGCCAGGAAGTCTATGCAGCAAAGTTCCAGGTATTGTTCAACCATCACGGCTTCCAGATCCGTAGCGCTCGACGCAAGGCGCTTGAAGGATGACGGGCATAAATCACATATAAGCTGAGGTGCCTGTCCTCATTTGTGTCAGGCTGGTATGAGGTTTGCACCGACAAGTTCGGCAGATCGAAAACAGTGGCTGACCATCCAATTCCTGCTGCTCCAGCAAAGGGCACAACGCACCAATGGAAAAGCTGATTCTTTCTAAACATGCAGCAGAAGTGTTGCACAGGCTGCGTCCCAGCCCCTCCCTGTACTGTAAGCGTCCTTGTGCTCGATGCTTGTAGTTCATGTTTGCCCGGTGAGGCAAGGGATGTACATGCGGATCTTCCGTGTCCTCGAGAAGAAAACGGGCCACGTCTGAAACAGTTTTGCACAGCCATGTGGCTTTGAGTACTAAGTACGGAGATAGTCAGATAGTCCAGTCCCTGACCCTCGCCCGCTGCCCCCGGCCTTGACCTCCCCTTCGCTTTTTCACCCCACCTCTACCCCCTCAGCTGTTGCATGCGACTGCTGCGCTACAGCATCACTGCTGGCATGCTGGTGCTCCTTCGGATGCTTTCGGCTCTTCTTGCGCAATTCCGCTTCTGCACTCTTACTGGACGAAGTGCCTGGCCCCAAACCTGTCATCATCATCCAGTCAGGTGGCTGGTTCCGTCAGGAGCAACTCGTCCAGGACTGAGATGGCTATCGACGGCGCAATCTCCAGCAGCTCTGCAATGCTGTCCTGAAGTGCGACGCGAGGGATCTCCCAAAGCTCCGCCGCTGTCCCCGTGCTCTTTGAAAGCTAAGTGTCCACTGGTTCGAGGCCGTCAGTAGACCGGGCACCTGTCACGGCACGCAGCCGCAAAGTCGAAAGGGCGCGCGCGGCTGTGCCACCGGAATCCTGGTCAGACACAGAGGGATTAAGGGATGACAGGGACAATGAGCGAAGGGTGGGGTTGCCACAGTGTCGCACGCGAACAGAAACCAACGAAAACCTCGCCCCAAGCCTTGTTGGACTCGTCCAGGACACGCTTTACGAGCTCACTGGCGCCACTGACACTGAAGGCAGCCATGCTGGTCACATCCTCCAGGCAGGAGAAGCGAAAGCGCTGAGCTTCGACCAAAGAGATGGCAAGCCTTCACCCGAGACTGGCGCCTGGAGGAGAAAGCTTGCGCCGCGAAGCGAGGGAGCCAGCAGCGCCATGACCTGCACGTTTGCATGGGTAACCTCTCCCTACGAGGCATATGAGGCAGATGAGGCCCACTTGGTGTGTACTTCAAAACAACCTGGTTTTGAGAGCAGGCAACGAGACTCTCCCGGCTCCCGGGCCTCGCTCCTTTGTCTCTGAGAGTAGACCTGACAAAAAGGGGACGCTCTCTGCAGGATGCATAGCACCAAAACCACCAGAGCCGCTGGGGGCCCCCAAGGGTTGAATGGAGTTAGTTACGGCATATCTAACTTTACATGTTCTGCAGAGTCTTACCAAGCATGCCCACTTATGTAAAACTCTTCTATGCGACTACCCAAGGCACTCGCTAACCGTACGTTGTCGTGCATGGCTCTTGCATTTCGCTTCCCCACGCCACTGCACTCTGTCTACGTGCTCGTCCATCGGAAGACCCTTCCAGTGTGCCAACGCGCACTTTACTCCCCCCACAGCACTTGTTCGGTAAGCCGGCTCAGCAGGACACCCACTCGCTTTAGCAAAAGGTCTGTCTTATATACCAGCCAGTAGTTGCGCCAGCCTGGTCTGCGTAGTCGCAAATCCTGGGTGCCAAGTAGTCACCAAGTCTACGGCAGAGAGGAACTCGTCACGCGCAAATGGCGAACTCTGACTCCAAGGATCTGCAGTGGTGTCAAGCCGCGGTCCCAACCCCGGTTGCCGTGGGCGCGTGTGGCCCGGACCCATTCGCTCGTCTTGAGCGTAACGTCCTCGGAGCGGAGGCTTGGAATCGCTGACAGAAACTGACAGGCTAGATTAGACTCTAGATTCTAGTTCCTCAAGTTCTAGGGCAACACCGAGGCTTCGGCTGCGCTGTGTTCCACCAGTAGACATATCAGCTCCGTGTCGCAGTTCTTGCCGACGGCCAGGTGAAGACAGGTAAGGCCTCCACTACCGCCGCATCCATCCGGATTGGCGCGCTGCTCCAGAAGGTGCTGGATGACAGCTACAGATTCCTGACCACTCCGGCACCAGACGCAGGCGCTGACAGACTGGAACTTAAGCTCTGCAGAGTTCGAGCTGCCGCCTTCGCACATCTGATCGAAGGGTGGGGCGCAGAGGGGTTACGCGCGGCGTGGTTGGTGTCGATGGTGGATACAATTGCATCGGAGAGGGGCGTCCAGCATGGGATCCCGTCGAAGACCGCCGCTGACTCCTTGCAGCCGGGGCTGTGTTGACTTGGCGGGCGAAGCAAGGAGCTGACTCCAGCACTGTGCATCTGAGCTGATTTTGGCATGCTGCGATAGATGCTCCCAGGCTGAGCAGGGCTTTGACCTGTCACCCAACCCCACAAAGTTAACGACGTGTGTTGCGATCTCGCTCCATTAAGCAACGATGCGAAGTACGCCCTCACATCCAGAACCCAACGTGCAGGCTTTCTGAGACCCCTGCCGCTGGCAAGCAATGGCCTCAGCACGATTGAGAATCGGTCGGCACTACAAAGATAAGTGATGCGATTCGATGCGAAGCAAGTGGCCTACCGCAGCGATATGCATGCCGGTGACACAGCAGAACTCCTTGGCACCATTCCCTTCGAGGTTGGAAGGTCTAATCTTTGGCTCAGCACTGTGCCTAAACAGAGAAGCAAACCTGTCCAGAAGTTCATCTTGGGTATGCCTGCTTTGATACTTCATTTGTTCGAAAATGTCCGTCCCGGTCTCGTTCGCGTTGGTCCGCCGCTCCACATCTGCTTTGGCATGGATGTCGGCACGACTTGCAACGATGTACCTCAGCCAGGACTGCTCTTGACGTGTCTACTTACTGTTGCAACACCTGGAACATGCGGTTGAAACAAGCGGTTGTCTCGCGACAGTTGGCAACAGAGTTGGTCTGGAGATCTTCCAACAACTATCAACTACATAACTAGCTGGTCATTTCGTAAATCAAACACGCCAACCAACAAGAATAAAACAGAATAGAGTGTTACCAACGCCACCGCCACCAGCACCGCCACCACCGCCACCACCGCCGCCGCCGCCACCGCCACCACCGCCACCACCACCACCACCACCACCTCCAACACTACCACTACAGTCACTACCCCACAACCACAACGACAACCACAACAACCAGCAACAACCGCAGACAACCAACAACGACGATGGACATCGAACAACAACCAACGACACCAACAACATTGACAGCATCAACAACAATGCTGAGCGAGCGAGCTGTGCTCCTCGCCAACCACAGAGTGACCAAGACATGGAGAACCATGTATTGAGTGAGAAAACCGAGACATTGTACTGAGTGAGAAAACCGAGACAAGGTGCTGTGGCTATAAAGCTACCAGAGAGACAGCCAATGAGATTTCGAGGCAACCAAGCACCGGCACCACCACCACTACCAGTCTCCTCTCCTCCTCCTCCTCCTCCTACTACTACTACTACTACTACTATTACTACTACTACTACTACTACTACTCCTACTACTACTACTACTACTACTACTACACCACCACCACCACTAC